TACGTTTGAGTAAACTCCGGGAGTTGGTGATGGACAGGGAGGCCTGGCGTGCTGCAGTCCATGGGGTCGCAAAGAGTCGGACACGACTGAGCGACTGAACGGCGCTGAACTGAACATTTTGCAGCCGCCCAATCCCTAAATGCAACACCAGGTGGATGTCAGACCGCAGACCCCTCTGGTCCCCACGTGAGAACGGGAGAGAAGCCTTCCAGCTCCAGGTTCCCTCTGGGGTGACCGCGAACCTGCCTCCTCAGGGAGGGGACCAAGCCAGGGCAGCCCTGCGGGAGGGTCCGCGACTCCTCCCCTGACGGTCCCACCCCCCCGGCCCCGCCCCCCTGACGGTCTCACCGCCCCCCCGGCCCCTCCCCTGACGGTCCCACCCCCCTGGCCCCTCCCCTGACGGTCCCACCCCCCCCGGCCCCTCCCCCCTGACGGTCTCACTGCCCCACCGGCCCCTCCCCTGACGGTCCCACCCCCCTGGCCCCTCCCCTGACGGTCCCACCCCCCCCGGCCCCTCCCCTGACGGTCCCACCCCCCCGGGCCCCTCCCCCCTGACGGTCCCACCCCCCGGCCCCTCCCCCCTGACGGTCCCACCCCCCGGCCCCTCCCCCCTGACGGTCCCACCCCCCCCGGCCCCGCCCCCCTGACGGTCTCACCGCCCCCCCGGCCCCTCCCCTGATGGTCCCACCCCCCCGGGCCCCTCCCCTGATGGTCCCACCCCCCCGGCCCCTCCCCCCTGACGGTCTCACTGCCCCCCCGGCCCCTCCCCTGACGGTCCCACCCCCCTGGCCCCTCCCCTGACGGTCCCACCCCCCCGGCCCCTCCCCTGACGGTCCCACCCCCCCGGGCCCCTCCCCCGTGACGGTCCCACCCCCCCGGGCCCCTCCCCCGTGACGGTCCCACCCCCCGGCCCCTCCCCCCTGGCGGTCCCACCCCCCGGCCCCTCCCCCCTGACGGTCCCACCCCCCTGGCCCCTCCCCTGACGGTCCCACCCCCCCGGCCCCACCCCCCTGACGGTCTCACCGCCCCCCCGGCCCCTCCCCTGACGGTCCCACCCCCCCGGGCCCCTCCCCTGACGGTCCCACCCCCCGGCCCCTCCCCCCTGACAGTCCCACCCCCCCGGCCCCTCCCCCCTGGCGGTCCCACCCCCCGGCCCCTCCCCCCTGACGGTCCCACCCCCCTGGCCCCTCCCCTGACGGTCCCACCCCCCCGGCCCCACCCCCCTGACGGTCTCACCGCCCCCCCGGCCCCTCCCCTGACGGTCCCACCCCCCCGGGCCCCTCCCCTGACGGTCCCACCCCCCGGCCCCTCCCCCCTGACAGTCCCACCCCCCCGGCCCCTCCCCCCTGGCGGTCCCACCCCCCGGCCCCTCCCCCCTGACGGTCCCACCCCCCCTGGCCCCTCCCCTGACGGTCCCACCCCCCCGGCCCCACCCCCCTGACGGTCTCACCGCCCCCCCGGCCCCTCCCCTGACGGTCCCACCCCCCCGGGCCGCTCCCCTGACGGTCCCACCCCCCGGCCCCTCCCCCCTGACAGTCCCACCCCCCCCGGCCCCTCCCCCCTGACGGTCTCACCCCCCCGGCCCCTCCCCCCTGACGGTCTCACCCCCCCGGCCCCTCCCCCGTGACGGTCCCACCCCCCCCGGCCCCTCCCCCCTGACGGTCCCACCCCCCCCGCCCCTCTCCTGACGGTCCCACCTCCCCGGCCCCGCCCCTGACGGTCTCACACCCCTCCCCGGCCCCTCCCCCCTGACAGTCCCACCCCCCCGGGCCGCTCCCCTGACGGTCCCACCCCCCCGGCCCCTCCCCTGACGGTCCCACCCCCCCCGGCCCCTCCCCCCTGACGGTCCCACCCCCCCGGCCCCTCCCCCCTGACAGTCCCACCCCCCCCGGCCCCTCCCCCCTGACGGTCTCACCCCCCCGGCCCCTCCCCCGTGACGGTCCCACCTCCCCGGCCCCTCCCCTGACGGTCCCACCCCCCCGGCCCCTCCCCCTGACGGTCCCACCCCCCCCCGCCCCTCTCCTGACGGTCCCACCCCTCCGGCCCCGCCCCTGACGGTCTCACACCCCTCCCCGGCCCCTCCCCTGAGAGTCTCACCCCCAGGGAGGAACCCTGGCTTGGGCTGCTGGTTGCGGTGCAGGTTTTCAGCGTCACGTGCACCCGCCTCACGCGTGAGGACAACTTCCCAGACCCTGGGCTCCTGCACACTAAGGACCTTCCTGACATCAACACATGCGGCAGCGCGGCCCAGGGTCCCCCTGGCCTGCGAGGCACACGTGTCCTGAGCCAAAGCCTAAACACGTGAACTTGGTGAGACCATCCCGGGCCCAAGACAGCTCACCGAGCATTCGATTCGGGATGCAGGGTGTGGAGCACCCACAGGAAAGAGAGGAGGGCGTGGGCGGGACAGTCACAGCAGCTGAAGGGGCGCCCTGGGGTGTGCGGGGCTGCTCCCCAGCCTGGCCCCGGCAGGAGGTGGGAAGGAGAGGAGGCCCGGGCATGCGGGATGCAGGGCCTGGAGGTGCGGCAGGCAGGGAGGACCTGGTTGAGAACTCGCTGGGTCTGAGATGCTCGCGACGCTTCCTGGAGCTGGAGAGCGGAGCCTCCTTTCCGGGAGAGTCTTGTCTGCACAAGTGGGCCCTGCCTAGGGGACCGGCCCCGGGGGGCCCGCAGACAGGGGGAGGTGATGCTGTCATGTCACCCAGCAGGCCGCTTCGGCCTGTACACACCTCCGTAGAGAAGGGAGATGCTCTTCCTGAGCTGAGCAGTCTTTTTCTGATTTTAATCTTATTCCTGAGAGGGTAACAGGCAGGAAGGCCAGGGGTCTCCAAACGGAGGAAATAGGCCACATGTGGCAGACATGTTTATCTCTCTCTTAAGCGGCAGGAGGAACAAATTACAAGTGTTAGGTTTTTTTTCCCCTTCTCTATACAAAATTAAAAGGAGGTTTCTCTTAAAATTCTGTGCTGCCATGATGACACCTGGCTCCACCTGAACCGAACTTTTCTCAAACCTTGAGCTAACCAGAGCATTTTTCTTACAAAAATGTTTGTCGTAAGCTATGTTAATGAACTGTGTATTTACCCTGGACTCTGTTTCTTCAAGTTGTGAGGGCTCTGAGTTTTGAGACATCTCCTTTTTCTAATTAGCAGCCTGCTGGTAGCTATATAACATCCAGCTAAAGACGAGCAGGGGGCACTCTTTCTGTCCCTTCTGATGTCTGTGTCAGAAGCTTTCTCTCTCTCTTTTCTACCTTTATTACACAAAGACTCTGAACGATCAAGCCTCGTCTCTGGCCCCGGATTGAATTCCTCTCCTCCAGAAGCCAAGAATCCCAGTGTCTTTCACTCCTCGTGAAAAGTTTCAACAACTTTTCATTCCCCTGTTCTCATCCTTTTCTGAAACATATTCACACCCACAAATTTAAAAATTTACTTGTGAAAAAGAACTAAGAATGTTCACAAGCAGATTTGAGCAATCCTTCTCTCAATCATTAATCAGCCAGCCAGATGGTTATGGTCACACAGAAATGATTATACACTCCGACTTGAGCAACAACTTGATTCATTCTCCCTGCAGACCCTCGCTCTAAACACAGGGACCGCTGAGCCCATCAGGCTCTTCAATCACACAGGGCAGCACTTGCTTTATACAACAAAAAGACGTCAGTCCAACAGAAGTATGTGCTTCTTTGAAGTGCTTTGAAAACCTCGAAAAAGAATGGCCATTTGGCTCAGAGACCTGTGTCCTCGTGGTTATAATTAAAACCATATTTCCTGATAAGACTGGAATCCTTTTGTGTCGCCAAGAACAGCAGCATAGGAAGACCAGGCTCTTGTTTTCCCTCCTAACAACGGCTGGGGGCTATCCAGGAAAACCGTCCCCTGCGGAGGGCAGGCGGCTTTATGGGCTCAAGACCCTTAGTGCCCAAGAAGTGCGATCCGCCTGCTGCAGACATTAAGGGCGGGCTTTGTGACTTTGCTGGAAAGAGGGGAAACTGTACAGTCAAGCTGCATCCTGAGTGTCCTTTTGGTACAAAATTTACGCAGAATGCACGTCTTGTTAAAACCTCTTTTCCCCACGACTGAAGTCAAAGCCACGATGGGGGCTTCACCTCACTGTGAACAGTCCCTGCAGCAAAAATGACCGTGAGACCTCTGGCAGCATGATGCCCGAGGTTACCAGGCTATGCTGGCTGGTCCCCTGCAGGATGTGGACCAGGTCTGAGCATCCTGGGGGAAAGCAGGGCTTGTTCCCCCAGCCCAGGAGTCCAGGCATCTCACCCAGGACCTGTCAACACCCTGGCCCTCGACCAGACTCATCCCCTTCAACACTCAGGCTGTCCCTTGACAACACAGGCTTCACATTCAGTGCCAGGTATCCGTCTGCCCGGGTCAGGAGGGATCATCTCCTGGACCTGCAGGAAGGACCTGATGGAAGAGGGCAGATGGGCGGCCCCGGGGAGTGGAGGAGCCTGTAAGAGCTGGATTCGAAAGTGCCACTGAAGAGAGTTCATCAGGAAAATATGCACTTTGATGGAAAGCCACCTGCCAGTGCTCACTCGCCCTCACGCTCAGCCCTACACACTCTTACCTCCCGGGAGAGGCAGCTCTTGCCAAAGCCATCATCACCGCTTCAGCACCACGGCCAGCGGCCTCCCTGCCTGGCCCCTTGGCCGTGACGCAATTTTACACCAGAACCTCGTCACGCTGACCCTCCATCCACTGCACCCCCCCCCCCCCAAGAGGTTTGTCTTTCCTGAGAAACCAAAGTTCAAACCACTGCCATGTCCCTGTCTCCTGGGGTCAACGTGACGCCACACTGTGGGTCAGTATCTCTCTTAAGGGCTGGCGGGATCGGGGATGAGGGCACAGACAGCTGTGAGATAAGACGGCAGGCGGATGGCCAGGCAACACACACAGCAGCTGTCTTCCCATTTAAAACAGTGCACCATACTCCAGACTGCGGCCATGCACACACGGTCATGCAGCTGCTGGTACCTGCGAGGTCCCTGAATATCTTCGATATGACCACAGGGACGCCGTGTTCCACGCCGCCCTGGAAGACAGGCAGAGGGGCTCAGTGACGACAGAGTGGGGGCCGTCACGGCAAAGTGTCAGGGGAAGGAACACATTCATACCTTTATGCTCAGGCCCAGGCCTCCCACGGGCTGTCTGCGAAGCGTAACAGTTCTGTGCTTTAAAAAATTTAGAAAACAAACCCGGTTTGGTTAAAATGGACAATCAGAAAGCGAATGCAAAATGTATACATAACTTCTTTATTAAAATTTCAGACATATCGGGGACATATGTATACCTATGGATGATTCATGCTGATGTTTGGCAGAAACCAGCACAATTCTGTAAAGCAATTATCTTTAAATTTAAAAATAAAAAAAATTTAAAAAACTTCAGTAGCTGTTTATATTTCCAAAGGGGAGCTGGCTAATCACTACAGCGACGGCACCATTTCAGACCTGCACTCAGCAGTGCTACAGGGAAACAGACAGCCTGGTAAGAAACAGCCGCACTGTGCTTGTTTAAGATCCACCCCGAGGTCCTGCAAAGTTGGTCATCTCACCCCATTCTGGCTCTGAGGGATGGAGGCCCCGTTACCAGGCAGCAGATGGGGAGGCTACAGAGCACATGCTCAGCTCCCTGTTTCTAAAGTCTTGTCTCCACTGACCCCCAAAGTGGCTGCCTGCACACCGTGCTGCTCTGCACAGTTCACCGTTTTTAGATCAATCATTACACAGTCGATGCTAACTTGTGAATGATCAATCATTTCTCGTCCTGACCTAGTTTAAAGTTGCCAGTGCTGACAACTTGAAGGCAAGACTAACCCTGCCCCGTGGCTGACGAGTTGGTCATGCCACCTCTCATGTGTTCAAACATGTAAGGTGTGTTCGTTTGGTCTAAATGATTTGTCAGTGAACAGGATTTGCCTGGGATTGATGAAACGGTATAGGAAGCGTGTTCACCTCCAAAAGTAACAATGGGAATAATAAAAAGGATGTGCATTGCTTTGATAATTTCTGTAAAAATTGGATAGATTCACAGCAAATATGCTGGCATATGGCCAATATGGTGGATAATTACATGGGGTTCTGCTTGCTACTTTTCAGCTTTTCATATGTTGAAAAAATTACATAATTAGAGGAAAATATTATAAAATGTTTAGTAGACTATGCAAAATACTTTGCTATTATGATTCTAGTTATTTCAAGCTTCACTGAAAGACAATTTTTTGTGTCTTATTTCCTTACCAAGTGGCTTGTGTGCACACTCACACACACACATGAACCACTATTGATTCTATCCTTAAACTAAATCACAGTGCAGGCTTTTACAATGAATCTGGCCCATATATTCACTCTTTGTGGGCTTCCCAGTGGCTCAGTGGGAAAGAACCTGCCTTCAAGGCAGGAGACGCGGGTTCAACCCGAGTCAGGAAGATCCCCTGGAGGAGGAAATGGCAACCTACTGCAGGATTCTTGCCTGGAGAATCCCGTGGACAGAGGAGGCTGGCAGGCTCACCCCATGGGGTTGCAAAAGAGTGAGACACCACTGAGCATGCACACACATTCACTATTTCAAGGTTTTCATGTTTTCAAAGCTGGACCATCCTTGTTGAAGAGAAGTAGACTCTGCATTGAGTCTACACACATTAAATAAGCGAATGCACAGTGCTGAGGGCCAGGAGCAGGGAGAATTCCACGTGAGTCAGTCGCCGAGGTCACACAATGAACACATGCCTTTCACGTGATGCACTTGACTCTCACAGCTCTATGTCTCTGCAGACCCATCTCTGCACTTCTGCTCACGGTGGCTTTCTTCCCTGGATTTATCTCCACAGTCCCTGCAAACCTGGACTGGGAATCCTCTCAGGCGTGGAAAGAGTGCGTATTCCTGCAGAAGGCCTGCACCTTCTGTCTGCGTGCACCAGGGCCCCCTGAACCTGACACCACCTACACTTGCATTTTCAGCAGGAGGATTTTCATGCCACACGGGAAGCGTAAACCATAGCGCAAGACCCAAGTGAGCAGCACGGAATTAGTGTCCTCAGGGGTCTTTGCTGGTTTTGTCCCTCTTCCTTCAGAAGCCAGTGCCGGTCAGGCAAGAACTCTTTCTGCGGGGGGCACTGTCTTCATGTTCACACTGTCCACGTGTGACTTAGGACTTCCTCCCTCCGGGTGGGGGGACTACGGTCTGTCCTTTCTTCTGGCTCAGCCCCGGGCCTCCTCCTGAGGCCCGCTTTCCCCGCGTTGCCCAGCTCACAAACACTAGTCCAGTGGCTGGTCCCTGATTGGACTCGCCCTGAACTGTCGCCAGGATCGCTGGTGCCTACTGCCGCTGGCCCTTCTCTCCTGTCGATGCGCCGGGCGGCCTTGAGAAGTTACAGGCAGCACCTAGACCCTCAGGCAGGAGAGGAGCAGCTACGTGTTGCCTCAACCCTGTAATTAACCCTGTGGGCTCAGACCAGCATCTTCCGCTGTTTCTTAATTTACCAAACTGAGGGTATGGAATTCTCTAAAATACATGTCAGCAATAAATGTGCTATGACTAAAAGTGCCAGATACAACACAGAGATCTTTTAAATTCTTTCTTCCTGTCACTACTTTTTATTTCATAACTACATTCATTCAAGCTACAAATGTAACCTTACAATTTAGAAAAATAAAATATGTCAAATGTACACACACAATCATAAAAATGAAGCAATCTAAACAGAAAGTCTGAAACATAACAAGCCAGCTTCTTCATATGGCGAAGCACATTCTTTCTTTAGGAGATAATTAGAAAACCCAGAGATTTGACGTATTCAGAGTGCTGTGTTGATCGGAAGAGACGGAATACAAATGAAATATAAAGTCGCCAATTCTAGACTCTGATGTTGAATCAGCAGATCTGAGAATCTATGGGTTTTATAAAAGGGTAAACTCAGTGTTCTCTCCCTCTTTCCTGATAAAAACATCCACCCAGAACTGATACAGTGCTTATTTTTTCCGCAGTTTCATGAATACTAACGCAAGTCTACCCCTTAATCCTATCTTCTCAAAAAGACAATGAAGAGTCTAAGTGCAGTCCAAGGTGTACAGCTGAGGGCAAACTGGGTCAGGGTCCGAGAGAACCAGATTCCCTCCAGTCTCAGCTTGTGAGCAAGTGCTGGGGCGCAGAGCCTGTTGGTTGTGAAATGAGCGTGAGCCTCCCACTGACAATAGAGCTCGAAATGTAAGGATCAGTCAGCAGCCTTATTTCTCTTAAGAAAGCTGACCTTGAAATCAAAGCACCAGTGTGAGCCAGCCTCGCATGAGTGTGGTGTATGCTCTTAGGTTCTAACAGGCCTTGGGGCCCCAGCGCCAAGCTGACCTCTGCTTGACATTACATGGGTGTGGCTATTCAGTTGCTCAGACGTGTCTGACTCTTTACAGCCCCGGGGAATGCAGCACGCCAGGCCTCCCTGTCCATCACCAACTCCCGGAGTTTACTCAAGCTCATATCCATTGAGTTGGTGATGCCATCCAACTATCTCATCCTCTATCACCCCCTTCTCCTCCTGCCTTCAATCTTTCCTAGCATCAGGGTCTTTTCCTATGAGTTGGTTCTTCCCATCAAGTGACCAAAGTATTGGGGCTTCAGCATCAGTCATGGATGGTATAGATTCAGTAAATGTGTGTTTAATTGAATCCAATGATGCATTTTTCATCTCCTGGGACCCATACAGGGACTCAAGTTTCAGTGAGATGTGAAATTCACACTCATTTCTTCTGCTGATCAGCTGGAGAATAATGATTACATCTCCCTCTCCCACAACTCAGAGAATTTTAAATGGTGGACAATAAATGCTCTCCTTCAGGTTTCCTGTTGGAGGTTAACACTGAAACACTCAGTGATGTGAACATAGGAGGCTCACATGTTCTGACACCCTCAGAGGTGCTACGATCTGCAGAAATAGCTGTGACTGTTGTCGGAAGTAGTCGTTTTCATTCTTCAAACACATGATAAATTCTCAGGTCAAGGTTAGTTTTATTTTTATAATCAGCTGAAGAACACGAGTTTCACCTGTTTCTCCAACCAACGGGATTGAACCCAATGGGCTTCTGAGGCTGGTATAGAGAAGGCATTCTGACCTCAGGAGCTGAACATGTTCTTGGTCTGAAAACATCCTCTGAGTCCCCCGCACAATTACCCAGCCCAGATATACACATCTATTCAAGAATATTTCACTCCTTTCCTACAAATGAGGCCTTCTCTGGAAGGAGCAGAGATCAGTAAGGATGGAGCCAGGAGACTGAGAACAAACCCTCGGGAACCACCCTCTTAGATAAAGCAGGCAATCTCAACATCAAGCTTCGGGCACCAATAAATCACTTGAAACTGTAAACATAAATTTACAAACACACACCCGTCGTTCTTATGAAGGAACCAGTAATTTCCATCAAGAAGACTCTGACAGAGTCCCTTGGGCAGAGACTCTGACACTGAATTCTAAAAAGTATAATTTATTTTTCCTGGATAATACACAGGAATCTGTATGAACGTCAAGAAGCAACAGTTAGAACCAGACATGGAACAACGGATTGGTTCCAAACTGGTAAAGGAGTACATCAAGGCTGTATATTGTCACCCTGCTACTTAACTTATATGCAGAGTACATCATGGGAAATGCTGGGCTGGATGAAGCACAAGCTGGAATCAAGATTGCTGGGAGAAATATCAATAACCTCAGATACACACATAATACCACCCTTATGGCAGAAAGTGAAGAGGAACTAAAGAGCCTCTTGATGAAAGTGAAAGAGGAGAGTGAAAAAGCTGGCTTAAGACTCAACATTCAAAAAATGAAGATCATGGCATCTGGTCCCATCACTTCATGGGAAATAGATGGGGAAACAGTGGAAACAGTGTCAGACTTTATTTTCTTAGGCTCCAAAATCACTGCACATGGTGATTGCAGCCATGAAATTAAAAGACGCTTGCTCCTTGGAAGGAAAGTTATGACCAACCTAGACAGCATATTAAAAAGCAGAGACATTACTTTGCCAACAAAGGTCCATCTAGTCAAAGCTATGGTTTTTCCAGTAGTCACGTATGGATGTGAGAGTTGGACTATAAAGAAAGCTAAGGCCGAAGAATTGATGCTTTTGAACTGTGGTGCTGGAGAAGATTCTTGAGAGTCCCTTGGACTGCAAGGAGATCCAACCAGTTCATCCTAAAGGAAATTGGTCCTAAATATTCACTGGAAGGGCTGATGTTGAAGCTGAAACTCTAATACTTTGGCCGCCTGATGCGAAGAGCTGACTCATTGGAAAAGACCCTGATGCTGGGAAAGACTGAAGGTGGGAGGAGAAGGGGACGACAGAGGATGAGATGGTTGGATGGCATCACTGGCTCGATGGACATGGGTTTGGGTGGACTCTAGGAGTTGGTGATGGACAGGGAGGCCTGGCGTGCTGCGGCTCATGGAGTTGCAAAGAGTCAAACACAACTGAGTGACTGAACTGAACTGGACAATATAGTGTAGAAACATTACCTGTTTTTACTATAACTTATCTGAAACTTTCTATTGATTACAAATTCACTGTTAAGAAAGGTGCCACTTTTAAGTGGCTACAGAACCACCCTGGCTGCTCCCTCCTGCTCCCTCTCCACCTACCGCCCACGGTCCTGAGAGCACGTGGAAGGCAATCAGCAAAGGGATGGGCCTTGTGCGGGTGAGCACGAGGCTGCCCACCTGCTGGAGAGGGGCACTCTTGGCTCTGAGGGACTCTTCTAAGAGCTGGAGGAGGCGGCTCTGCAGGATCCATGGGGCGGGGCGAGGGGTGTCCTCGAGAGGACGGGATGCAGAACCCAGGCCTGAGGGTCCAGGGGGAGCATCCTGTCTCCCGCCTTCATCGTGAGGCTCCGCCACCCTGGATGTGCAGGGGACACCCTCGACCGAGGCCAGAACCGGGGCGGGACCAGGGGGCGGCCTTGGGCTCCAGGACAGAAGGAGGAGGACGCCATCCAGAGGGAGACATGCGTGTGAGGACACGGAGGCAAGGTCGCAGCTCCGTTGGTGACATCGGGGCTCCCGCGCTGAGGACGGCACGCTGACCACAGGAGTGCGGACAGGCCGGGTGGAAGCGTCCTGCCCACGTCCTCTATGTGGTTAAGGTTACAAGGACCCAGAGACCCACAAAGAAGGCGTCTCCAACAATCCCAGAAGAGCCAGCCCACCTGGGGATGGCAGAGCCTTGGGGTACTTCCAGAATCTCGCAGAAGGAACACCCTTTCCTCCACCTGGCTTCTTGCTCATCTGTCTTATAGCTAATGGGACGGCCTATTCAGAGGACGAGTAATGATGCATGCTGGTAATATCTACATAGATTATAAATATACAGAGACACAGAATGCACCTGTGTATCCTTAGCCATTTAAGCCCACTGGGAGGAAACCAGGAAACTTCAAATATAACGTGTTATATATTTAATACATCATTTGCAGTCATCTCAAGGTAAATTTAGAGATAAAACTAGCAAAACCATTGTTCTCTAATTTTTATTCAATATTCCAATACATCCAACACATTAAGAACATTTCACTTATAATTGAAGGCAAGAAGGACCAAGCTTTATGTGAAAACTCTATTTGCATCCATGGAGGCAAGGAAGAGGTAGACTCTGAAAAGCACCTCCTGTACCTTTCACTGCCTGTGGTTCCAGATAGATACCCTGGAGTTCTTCCTCCTTCAGGAAGGAGATGACCTTGCTCATCACAGCTTTCTAGTTTCCCATGAGAATATACTCAGTCTCATGGTGTGCTGTCTGGGGATGTTTTTAATATAAAGCTCCTCAAGGAAAATATATGAATAAAATTAAGAAAGCCATCGAGAGAGCAAACAGTACAAACTTGAAAAGACATTTTGCTTTGCAATAATTGGACATCTGGACAGGGCTGAGGACCGTCAGGCCACGTCCTGCAGGACCCCCTGGGAGCTTCCGTCTGGGGAGCCCCTCTCGCGTATCGGCGTGACACGGTCTAGACAAGCCCTGGGCCTGCAGATGCAGAGGCACTTACGTTTGCACGGGGACCACTGCCACTAGCACAGATGACATCCTGTTTTTGAATTGTCAGTACCTCTTTCGTCAGCTTCAGGCGGACGTCATAGGCGTGGCCAGACCCTTCGCCGTGCACTGAGGCGACCCCAGTTTTAGTCTGCAACAGAGCAGAGGTGGGAGGTGTGAGGACAGAGAGCAGGGACCCCGGCAAACGCGCCCGGGCTGAAACAAGCTGTGCTCACCACACACCCGCGCATCTCACAAGGGTTTGATTCAGTTCAGTTCAGTCGCTCAGTTGTGTCCGCCTCTGCGACCCCATGGACTGCAGCACGCCAGGCCTCCCTGTCCATCACCAACTCCCAGAGTCCACCCAAACCCATGTCCACTGTGTTGGTGATGCCATCCAAACATCTCATCCTCTGTCGTCCCCTTCTCCTTCAATCTTTCCCACCATCAGGGCATTTTCCAGTGAGTCAGTTCTTTGCATCAGGTGGCCAAAGTACTGGAGTTTCAGCTTCAGCATCAGTCCTTCCAGTGAATATTCAGGACTGACTTCCTTTAGGATGGACTGGTTGGATCTCCTTGCAGCCCAAAGGACTCTTGGGAATCTCCACCAACAACACAGTTCAACAAAATCGTGGGATTGTTTTAATATTTCTTCCTGATCAGTTTTTACAGGATTTGTATAAAACATGTTTTTAGCAAGTGAAGAATGGATGGGTCAGAAAGGCACCCTGGATAAACTAGAGAAGTTGGCTCCTCCACGTGGAGTCACGGACGTGCCCCCGGCTGAGTGCACGTGGCGTCACGGACGTGCCCCAGTGGGTGGCACGGGTCCCGGACATGCCCCCGGCTGGGCGGGGCCTGGTCAGTGGGTGGCACGGGTCCCGGACGTGCCCCCGGCTGGGCAGGGCCTGGTCAGTGGGTGGCACGGGTCCCGGACGTGCCCCCGGCTGGGCGGGGCCTGGTCGGTGGGCGGCACGGGTCCCGGGAGACCAATGGAACGGCCACCCCGTCGCCCCTGGTTCCTGCACAGAGCTCTGGCCAGCGCGGCCTTAGACACAGCCCCGCACCTGGGAGAGGGGAGAGGGCAGGTAGGATGCTTGGTGAGGCCGCCAGGGTCTGGTCTGCCGCCCGGGACCAGAGGACGGTCCCAGGGCCCACAGAGCCCCAGCCAGGCCCCAGGAGTGAGCGCTGGCAGGGGTGAGGCTGGAGCAGAAACAACGGGACACACGGACCCCGAGGGCGGGGCTGGTGGACACTGATCCGCGATCAACACAAAGCTTTTCCCGCTGAAGGAACGGAATATTAAGAACAAAGAAACAGTAACACGCTATGATTTTCTTCTTATAATAACTTAGTGGAATTGAGATTCCTGCTAAAAAATCTTCACTGCAGATAAAAACAGAATATTTAATACATGTCTAGGATCAAAACAACACTATATATCACTAACATTACTATATATACAATAGATAACCAATGAAGACCTACTGTTCGGGGAACTATAACCTATTACCTTGGAGCTATCTAGACAGGGAAACTGAATCACTTTGCTCTTTCCCTAAATCACACACAACACTGTGAGTCAACTATTCTCCAACTCGGGACTGCCCAGGTGGCTCAGCAGTAAAGACTCTGCCTGCCAGGCCAGGAGGCGTGGGCTCCATCCCTGGGTCAGGAAGCTGCCCTGGAGAAGGAAATGGCAACCCACTCTGGTACTCATGCCTGGAAAATCCCATGGACAGAGCAGCCTGGTGGGCTACGGTTCATGGGGTCGCAAATGAGTCAGACATGACTTAGCAACTAAATAAAAATTTTAAAAAATACTCCAACATGAAATTTTTTCACAGGGTCAGAATCACTGATTGTGATTCAGTGAGAAGGACCATGTCCTCACATTCTCCACAGTGGAAAGTGAGCAGCAAAAGAGAGCACCAAAACTCCTTCTCAACATTGATTAACAAACGTCTAAACCACCACAGATCAGAGGTGTAAAAACCACACTCTCTGACATAAACCACAGCAAGATCCTTTATGACCCACCTCCCTGAGTAATGGAAATAAAAGCAAAAATAAACAAATGGGACCTACTTAAACTTAAAAACTTTTGCACAACTAAGGAAACTATAAGCAAGGTGAAAAGACAGCCTTCAGAATGGAAGAAGATAATAGCAAATGAAGCAACTGACAAAGAATTAATCTCAAGATATACAAGCAGTTTATGAATACCAGAAAAATAAACAACACAATCAAAAAATTGGCCAAAGAACTAAACAGACATTTCTCCAAAGAAGATGTACAGATGGCTAACAAACACATGAAAAGATGCTCAACATCACTCATTATCAGAGAAATGCAAATCAAAACCACAATGAGGTACCATCTCATGCTGGTCAAAATGACTGCTATCCAAAAGTCTACAAACAATAAATGTTGGAGAGGGTGTGGAGAAAAGGGAGCCCTCTTACACTGTTGGTGGGAATGCAAACTAGTACAGCCGCTATGGAGAACAGTGTGGAGATTCCTTAAAAAACTGGAAATAGAACTGCCATATGACCCAGCAATCCCACTGCTGGGCATACACACCAAGGAAACCAGAATTGAAAGAGACACGTGCACCCCAATGTTCATCGCAGCACTGTTTACAATAGCCAGGACATGGAAGTAACTTAGAGGTCTATCGGCAGATGAATGGATGAGAAAGCTGTGGTACATATACACAATGAAATATTACTCAGCTTTTAGAAAGAATGCATTTGAATCAGTTCTTTTGAGGTGGATGAAATCGGAGCCTATTATACAGAGTAAAGTAAGGCAGAAAGAAAAATACCAATACAGTATATTAACGCATATATATGAAATTTAGAAAGATGGTAATGATGACCCTATATGTGAGACAGCAAAAGAGACAGAGATATAAAGAACAGAGTTTGGACTCTGTGGGAGAAGGCGAGGGTAGGATGATTTGAGAGAATAGCATTGAAACATGCATATTACCATATGTGAAATAGATCGCCAGTCCAAGTTTGATACATGAAACAGGGCACTCAAAGCCGGTGCACTGGGACAACCCAGAGGGATGGGATGGGAGGGAGGAGGGAGCGGGGTCAGGACGGGGGACACATGTACACCCGTGGCTGGTTCATGTGAATGTATGGCAAAAACCACCACAATGTTGTAAAGTAATTAGCCTCCATTTAAATAAATCAATAAATAAGAAGCCATAAAAAATTTAAAAAAATCACAGTGGAAATAAGAATGTATTTTGAATGAAGTTACAGCTCTTTGAAATGGTGTTTCAAAGAATAGTTACATCTTTCAATGCATTTTTATTTTTAAAAAGCTGTTGAAAATCAATCTAATCTCAGGGTAGCCAAGGGCCTGTTTCTGTGAATAAAGTTTTATTGGGACAGCCACACCCACCTGGTTACTCCTATTCGTCACTGTTTTTATGCAAATATTATTACATTTGTTTTAAAAGCTGAATCCACTATTAAAATTCTTTTACAAAGTAAACTCTAGGGCTATACCAGCTTCATCAGTGAATTCCACATATTTCAAGAAAAAAAAATTCACAAAGTCTTTGAGAAAAACTAAAAAGGAACACCATTTAACTTGTATAAACTCAAGCCAAGTTGGACACAAAAACCCAGCAAGGAGGTTATAACAAAGTAAATTAACTTATCTATCACCTTCTTGAACATAAATGCAAACATCCTAAAGAAAATGTTACCAAACCAGATGCAGAAAAATATAAAAATGAAAGTACGTCTTGAGCAATGAACAAGGAAGGGAATGTAGCTTTTCACCTGAATGTCAGTGTCGCTTACTCCGTGTAACAGTCACCCACCAGGGCCTAGTGAGACACCCCAAACCTCAGGGCTCCTGGGATCTGGAGGGGGCCTGCCTGGCGCTTCTCTGTGGGTCTCCTGCGGCCGTGGTCAGTCGTGGGGGCAGCAGTCGGGTGGGAGTGGGCTCCGGGTGACAGATCACCCCCAGCTGCTCCTGCGCTGCCAGCAGCCGACCCTGGGCTGGGCCCGGGCTCCTCCCACTGGCCGCTCACAGCGGGTGTCGTTCCCCCCCGCCCCCCCCGCATCCAAAGGGTGACCCGAGAGAGGAAGAGCGTGCCCCAAAACGGAGCTGCTTTTTCTGTAACCGAGCATCATCACTCCTGCCCAGCGCCGTGGACACACAGCCCAGCCCGGGATGGACGTGGGACAGGACCACATGGGGCCGGTGGACGGGGCTCCTGGGAGCCCCCACACCACAGCTCAGAGCACGGAGACTGTTGTAGGATCACAAACAAGTCTCAAAAGACACCTGACAAACGTCATTCACAACGAAGCTTTCTAATAAAAGGTACCTTTCCCGACCTTCCGGGAAACCTCCAAACGAGACTCAGCATCTGTGATTCTCTGTGCTGATTATGGAAAACTTCCTCCTGCGGCTGCTCACCCTCACAGCTGGGCCCGGCAGCTCCCGCCCTGGGGGACACAGCTGCCTTTACAGACAGACGAGGCCCCAAGGTGGGAAAGAGAAACCAAGCCAGCCTTTTCCACTGACGCTCCTGAGTGCGGAGACAAACCTAAAGCGGGAAAACAGATAAGCGACAGCTCATGGCATTGATGAAGGGTCAGTGCTCTACTCTGCCAATATTCTGAAAGTACATGTCAGCACATGAGCAACCAGCCTGACAACTGGAAGTCGTAACAAGATGCAACGTGCAGCAGCATTAAAAAGTCATCAACATCTAGAAATAAATCTAAGAAAAGACACGTCAGGCCTCTACACTGAAATGCTTAGTAAAGTTATTAAGAGACTCCCCTGGTGGCTGAGTCGGTAAAGAAGCTGCCTGCAATGCAGGAGACCTGGGTTCAAGGCCTGGGTCAGGAAGAGCCCCTGGAGGGGATGGCGACCACTCCAGTGTCTTGCTGAATCCCATGAGCAGAGGAGCCTGGGGGGCTACAGTTCACGGGGTCGCAAGAGTCGGACACGACTGAGCAACTAACACAGGAGGAGGGTATAGGGGACTCAAGTGTCACAGAACAGATCGTGCTCGTGAGGCGGATGAACTTACATGGCCAAGGTGTCAGTGCTCCCCAGAGTGATCTGAGATTCAAAACAACAGAAAACCATAACCTCAGCATATTTTTA